TATCATTATTTCTGCAGACCCCAATTATTTCACGAATATATCTGAGTTTCGCCCTTCTAGAGCTGACAATGTTTCGTTTGTTTCCATGCGATGTCATTCCCATGACATCGTGCAGACGCTGCTAACGCCATGGTTTCTCCATGCCTTTTTTCTGCCATAGTCATTTAATATGTGGAGCGTCTGTGGATTTGCTTCATCCCCCCACTCACTTTCCCTCTCCTGTCTGTCCGTATTTCCCTTGCCGTATTTACGTCTCTTTGTTGTCTGTGTGTGTTGTATTTAGTAGTTTATTTTCACATTCATTAATCTCCTCCATGCTCACTGCCTCTGTAAATTACCACCTTCTCGCTCAAAACCTACCAATTTTGTCGGAAACATTGGTTTATTCTAATAGCGGCACAAAAGCGTGCATAAATTGACAGCCGCATACCTATGGCAATTTGTATGAACAAACAATATACTGAACTATAGTGGAATGGCATTTCATTTTGCTCTTGTTTATCTGATGAGTCATTCTATATATATATACCATTATGCACTTACGAAAACGGTCCACTCCACAATTATTAAAGTACACTGGTGCTGCTCTGTTAATGGTGTGTATGTATCTACAGGAGGTATGTGAGACTTGAGATGCGAATAGAGGTTGCCGCTCAGTGTGTATATGTGTGCGAGAGTATATCGTCGCCGATGTGTGAACGTGTGTCTTTGGGTATATTGCGAGCGGTGCTGAAACGGTTGGCGCCCTGAACTTCGAGCCTGAGTTCGACTCCCAGCCACTGCTCACATCAGTGTCAATTGCCACCTGAACCAGGCTTGGATAATGAATTCAGTAACATGTTTGGTGTATAAACATCAGCACTGGGAAGACAAAGATGGCCAGACGTGTTATTGTGTCACACTACCCGTTTGTAAAACATGCTGGCCTTAATGAGTGCCCCCCTAACTGCATTTGCTCTTACCATATTCCCTATTCCTGTAACATGCTAAGCCTGTTCCAATACTCGCCATTTGCGACATATGTAACCATGATTGTAGCTGAGATCCGTACCGTGTAATCACATCTGTACCGTTGCAGGACGCCCACGAAATGGAGCCTAACAGCTTATTGGGCCCTTCCTGCTGAAATAAATAAATCTATCGAGCTCTAATAGTCTGATAAACGCTATGGGCGGTTGGAAGGGGGGTTAGTATTTTGAATCCGTATGGCTCTATTAATATATGAGATAATATTTGCTTCGTGTTCTTTTATGCATGCTGATGGCTGTGTGTGCATACATGCATGTGGTGTGTCGTCAGGTTGGTCGAGTTTATGCTTAAGCTCTGAATGCATTCGTAAATGCCTTCAGAGACACGTTGGGTGATGTCTCACACGAAGCACAGGTCAGCTATCGTATCCACAGAATACTGCTGCACTCATTGCTCGGTGTTGTTTCGTGAATTATGAATAAAAGTTGTTCTCTCTGTGTTGCATTTTTTTTAGTCAAGGTTATCTCCAATGCATGATTAACGCATCGTATTCCAATCGAGATACACCTATAATCATCTTTTATTTGGAATGTTTCCCCCCCACCCCCCAAAGAAAGGCAACATCGAAAGCAATTTCTCAGTTTCCACATTCGTGCACGAGGTATCCTCTCTATTTGATTTCTTAGCATTCATCAGCTGAGATCAAATAAAAAATAATATTCTTTTTCTGCAAATGAAATGTGTTACCAAGATAATTTATTGTGGAAGCAATGCAGCCAAGTGAATTACATTTCAGAACGAATCAAAAGGAATGCATATGGTAAAAATAAATGATCAAAATCTACATGGACGTAACGTTTTTTTTATTTTAAGAAGCAAGTGGTGAAACTAGTCACATTGAGCTGATTAAAATAAATCTGCCCGGGTGCACTATATTTACATCAGTCTTGATAACGGAAGCCTTGTGCGATTTCCTTTGGGCGATTGTATTAGTGCTTAGCGCGCTAATTGCGTTTTCATGCGCGTGAAATAACCATGCCTTCACAAACACTCTCTCCTTCAGCGACCGGGCAGCCCCAGAGTATGAATTAAGAACCGGTAGCCTCTTCTGTAGACCACTGCATTCGGTCATTCATGGTACGGGGACAGGCTGAACGCTGGATGGACGCAACTGGCGATGGTCGCAATAGCGCAATGCACAGCGACGCACATCACAGCACCGTCACAGCGCCGCTGATCACAAACCCTGGGCAATGCTCTACCTTGTAATACCGTCTCTGTATGTGTGTGTGTTAACCATTAACTGGAAAAAAAATATTAAATAACAAATTACGAGCCGTTGTGAGATACGTCCCAAAAAAAAACACAAACAGCGTGGCCGCATCTAGAAATATTAGACATCACGCAGAAAACCCGCATTGGAACATCGTGAAGAGTGTCATACAATCCTCGATTGTGTCTGCTTAAAATACAATATACAATTTTTTTACAACGACTTTCATTACCGGAAATCGATTTGCTCAATGCTAATATTCAGGAATAATAATAATACACAGGCAGACAGACCCACCTCGCGATGTGGTACTCTGAACAGCAGTCAATTGCGACCGTGTGTGCAGCTGACGCTGGAAGCTTCGTGTGAGCTGCTGTTTCATAGCCCTGAGCCTTTAATGCAATAGTTGGGGGGTGAGAGACCCATTCTAGATAACAGCAGAATTAAGCTCGATTATTTTTTCCCTTCTCTCCACCATTCGGATCACAAGGAAATTTATCTTTTGAAACACGTGCCCTTAATTCATTTTATAGTCTTATACAAAAATCAATTTAGTGTGGACCTCAGAGAGAGAGAGAGAGACAGAGAAATATAATAACAAAAAATGAGCAAAATGGTTAGGGACAAACAGATTGCAATATTGGTCACTTTTTCATTCTCACTGCCTTTCTGGACCACTGACAAATGCGACACCTACGTCTCACTTTTCATTTCCTTTTTTTAAATGTCTTATCTCTCTTGAAAAAAAAAACTTAATTTAGGACCCTGAAATTGCCTCTCTTTTTTCAGCCTCTACAGATGACACTATATGAATTTAAACTTTAATTTAGCAGTTCATTTTTTCCTTTTTATATTATTGAATTTTGTCTCTATAGTGATTTGTGAAAAGAGGTTGCGATATATTTTACTCTTAGTATGATCGCCATCATATATTTTGCTTAAGTATTGTTGGTTTCTAAATATGTATTTGATGGTTCGTTATCTAAAAGCACACTGGTGAATAATTTAAGCCAGAATCTGGATATGTACAGCACATCATGTATTATATATAAACAGATTAAACCATCTACAGCTCAGGGAATCAGCGCAGGCTATAATATCGGGGATTGTCTTATCTCTGCTATCTTTTTCCCAAAACCTCTACCCGCATCTTAAATGGAACACGGGGGCACTTCGGTTGGGGTTGGGGTTAGGGCATAGAGTGTGTGCCGTCTGTCATGCGAATTGGAATCATTTCTTCGAAATTGGCGAAGCGATGCTGTTACTACCTCAATTTTTTTTCCTCTCTTTTTAAAGAGATGTCAGCAGACAGAGAGCTGCCGAGTGGCTTCACAGCCTAATCTTCACAGTCACATTTCAAATCCACTGCAACGTTTAAATTGCTATCATTCTCACCTCTCTTGGTTTGTCTGACTCCACACTCCAGCCTCCCCACCACCCCCCCCCCCTTTATCCGTCTAAGCAACCTGCGTCTCAAATAAACAACTGGAAATCAAAGTCCCCCTGCTCGCTAAATCCCCTGTCCATCTCCATGGCTCTGGTTCTCGAAGGGGGAACCCAATATAGCCGCATATTTTCCTTGGGGGGGTTTCAACGTTTTCCATTCAAAACCCATCCGACCGGCACACTGCGAGCAATTTGGACCGAGGGGACAAAATGCTGCACACACACACACCCATCAGCGCAACGTGTTCACGCGAGCTATCAAAGACGACGAGATCACCCGCATAGCCTGAACAGACTGTTGGGGCAAGTTGCCGTTTGCGAGCACCTACGGGAAGGCCGGCACGGCACACGAGGATTTGTGGGTGGCTAGCACCATGCCCGGCCGCCTTTGTCTCCCGACTGGCGATTGTGTGCACACGCGTGGATGCGCACAAACCGCAGCGCACTTGAAACGCGACGGTGCAGCGCCGTGAGTCACAGACATACTCACCACACAGCCGCGCACACTTTAGGTCATTCCTGAGCCGACACTTTCGCTGGTAAATACGCGCACGTACGCACACGCACGCGCGCGCGCGCACACACACGCGCGTGCACGCACAGGCAAGTGCTGTGAGCAAGCACATATGAAAGGCCGGCACGGCACACGAGGGTTTGTGGGTGGCCAGCACCACGCCCGGCCGCCTTTGTCTCCCCAGTGGCGATATTTACACACCGCACCAGGTACCCATTTGAGACTGAGTCGACCTAGGGGAGGCCCAGGACCGGTACAGATAATCGTCAGCGGTGTTTGGCCGTGATCGGGAATCGTACTCGGGTCGCCGGGTTCGTAGCGCAGCGTAGCGCTGAGCGCCGCTCCCCACACTCGCACTCTCACACGCGCAATCCACGAACACGGCCATCGGACAGCGCACGCTCAAGGAACAACAACATCGAAGGCACGCGAGTGAATAATTCGGCATGCCACTGCGCGCACGCCCAAGCGAATGTGCGCCCCGCAACAACAAACAAAATCGGCGAGCGAAAATTATAAAAAAAGAAAGCCAGACATGCACATATCGATAACAACGCAAAACACACAAACCCACACGAACGGTCGTTTTCACACCCCTACTTAATTTGTCATTCACACTTCACTTCAGCACGTACAGTTTGCACATGTGTGTGCATGCGGTGCATGTGTGTGTGTGCACATGCATGCATGCCCGCATGTACGCACGGGAACAGTTTTCCTTGTTTAATGGTATTCATCAACAAATACGACGCAGGGGGTCGGGTGGTCGGAGGAGAATAATGAAAAACAGCAACTCACCACCCTCTGTCTTGATTACGCAAACACAACCCGGAGCCTCTTTAATTGTTCATTTCTTTCTCCGAACCCACGGGCTATGAAGTTTTTTTAAAGAACAGATGGTGGTGACACGCGATTTCCTCGAAGAATCTCCGTCACTTGCACTTGTCATGCCCTGTGAGCGCAGCTTGCTGGCCGGCACAGATGACAGCGCGAGGCAGAGTGAGAGAGAGAGAGAGAACGCGCGAGAGAGATTGGAGGGCGAGGAGGGTGGCGGGGTGGGGGGTTGGTGGGTAAGGATGAGCAGCGAGAGACGCAGCACTGATAACCGACGCAGCAGCAGCAGCAGCCGCGGCCGCAAGCCACAACCTCCTCCTCCGCCGTGTGCGCTCGCTCACTGGAGCCCTCCTCTCGGAGCCCTCCCCCTCCTGCACGCCGCTCTCGGCACCAAATCCACGAGGCGATGAGGTCACAGGTGGGCACAACCACTTCACCGTCGAGATGAGGGGGGGGGGGAGTACGGCGGTGGGGATGTGGGACCGAGACGAGGCAGTGGCATTCGTTAGCTGTGAGCACAGCGTCGGCGGGGAAAGGTTCAGACGACTCAACTTTGCGTTCGCTTTTGACAACAACAACAACAAAAAGAAGCGGTAATTGCTGTGGAGACAATAATGGTGGTGGTGGTGGTGACGATGGGCATGGCTGGAGCTGTTACGATTAAAGTAATTTTGTGTGAACTTTAATATGACGGGCAGATTTGATCGCGCCATTTATGCGCGCCGAGTGATTAATTGGTATTGTTTTACGGAGAAGGAGCCGAGCACAAAGCGTGTCCTCAAGACGAATGTTTGCAGGGTTTTGAATAGAAGCTCCTACCGGTGTCGAGGCGACCCTATTGCCTCGAAACCATTCGTGCAACCGATAGACGGCAACGACGATAGCGGGACATGTGGATGGGGAAACGAATGCTGTATACATATTCTTGCGAAGAGAAACGATTTTTAAAAAAAAACGTGCACCCTCAATCCCTGCTTACAAAACATTCTAATTAAGGCAATGATTTTCTTCGATTTAAAGCTTTCGTGACTGCGGGGATTCATAGTCTTGGTTCTTTCGGTAAAGTCACGTAGAAGGGAATAAATAAAATGATAAAAATAAAACAATAACATTCTCACGATGTTTCGATTGCAACACAAGCAATCATCAGATGTGAAAAGCCACAGCAAGAAAATAAAAAAATCGCCACTTTTTTCAAATGTTCTTGCTGTGGTTTTCACACTTGATGATGATTGCTTGTGTTGCAATCGAAACGTCGTGAGAATTTTGTTGTTTTATTTGAATTATTTTATTTATTCCCTTCTACGTGACTTTACCGAAAGAACCAAGAATATAAGCCAATTATGTATTCATTTCTCCAAGCTTTCAGTGGTGCAAAGCAATTGGCCTGCACAATCGTGCGCTAATTGCGAGCAATTTGAGACTCAAACTGGCTCCACGATATGGTTAAGTCGACATGTAAAACTTGAGACGGAAGATGAAGCCACTTGCATTTCAGATTCAAAGTGACAGCGTGGCAAGGGCATGCAGGAGCATTACAAATGTCTAAGCGATTACATCTTAATCTCAGCACTTTCCAGTTTAAAGGACTCCACAATATTGCCTCTGTCTCCAGCAGGAAATGCACAGGGGACGTGTTAAAAGTTACGTCTGTATATAAATGAGATTGCTTGTGCCTGAATTATGCAAACAATAAGCATTTGGAAATATCGCGAGAGCATCGTCTCGATTATCTATTTATAGCGCGTGTCAGTTACCGTAACCGCGTGGCAATAATGCGTCAAATGAATTGCTTGATTGCAAGATCTCCGAGTGTATAAACGTCATTATTCGTGTCACGCTTCTAAAATGTATTAGATGGTTTGCAGCGTTACAGGGATATTAAATCCTGTTTGCACTGCAGCTCATGGAATATTTATTTACACTTTTCCAGTGGTACATCATACCGCCATTCATTATGTCAAAGTAATAAACTAGTTAGATGGTAATGAATGTTTGTATATATCGTGAATATGATCGTGTGCAAGGACATGCGATGTAGTGGATATCAAGAGAATACAAAAGTAAAAACACGCTGCAGCATTTTGTGATTATTCGCCCATTTCACGAGTTAAGGAAGAAGAGAAAAATCAATTTATGCTGAATGCATAAGAAAGTGACAATATTTCATCGGACGGCTCTTGAGGAAGATTTGTCAGCACAATGCTAAATCTTTATTCCCGTTGAGTGAAAAATGCTTCGTGCCTGTTTATTTATTTGTTTACACCCCCCCCCCCGCGTTATATATCTATTGCATTAACAAAAACATTTTAAGCAAAGTGACAGTGTGGATAGAGTGCAGTTCCACGCAGCAGCAATTATGCTCTTGCGCCTGTGGGGCGGCAGCACTTCGCTCGCTGACAACGCGGCCGTGTCTTACATCTAATTTTCTTTCACCTTCATGCTCCACTCCCCAGGTCGGCAGTGGCAGGGTGGCACCCCCCCCCCCCCCTTCACGCCCCCTCCAATCAACCCCCATCCCTCCACAACGAGAATGCCAAACCAACACAACAATCAGCACCCCATTCCGCCTGCACTCGTCACCACATTCCGCCCAAACAAAGTCCCCCGTGCCTCCACCTATCTGCCTTTCCTCCTCTCCCCCCCACCCCTTCTCTACCCCAGCCTGCCCTACACTTCCCTATCCCTCCGTGTGCGCGCACGCGACCCCCAAACACCTCGACCAAGCAGCGTTATTACTTACCAAGTCGGGACACCCATCACACCGGTGGCAGCCGATAAGTTTGCCATTCGACATTTTGGGCTGTTCAGTTTGACCGGTGGATGTTATTTGTCCGTGGGTGTGTGGGTGTGTGGCGGTGGAGTGTTTTGGGGTGGGTGGGTGGGTGGAATGATTGAGGCGTAAACGAGCATTGGTGGTGTGGTAGTGGTAGGGAGGGAGGGGAGCTGTCTCGTTTCGGGGAAGTTTTGTGGGATTAGCAGCGGCTTGGTCGATTGGGGCAAGGTAGAGAGGGCAAGAGAGAGTGGAGCGCTTAGTTGCTCCACTCGATTTTTTTGTTGTTGAGCCTGGAAGGCGGGTGGGGGTTGGATGCGAGTTGCGGGCTGGGCAGCAATGCGCCCAGCCGGCTTGATTGGTGGACGTTAGGCAACGCGCACATGGGGGCCAAGCGAGCGTGGGGGATGAAGAAGAGGAATTGTGATCGCCAGAGTCTGTTAACTATTTGGCTTCAATCTAAGGTCATGGTGGTCGTACGTACTTTTATCCTGCAGTTCTTTGAAATGGAATTCATTACTCAAACGTTCGTTTATTTTTTTTACACATCAATTCCAAGTGGAGATCCCCCCCCCCCCACCCCCCACGCGCGCTATGCTACAATTTCAATTTAAAACATGGATTAGTTCAAACATAATTCACCGGGGCGAGTTTTGGGTATTGGTTATTCTTGGTGTCTCTCTGACCTGCCTGTAGTCACGCATCTGTCATAGACCGCCCCTCCGCCTCCTTCCCCATTCCGCCACATTCAAAGGGGTCTTCACACTGCAAAGTTATGTAGCTCATTCACAAACTTGTAATGCTCACCACGTCCTTTTTGAATTCAGCCAAGAACGCTTTGCCAACTGCACCTCGGAGAGAGGAGGGGGGGTCGGCAATATGACCACGGGAGACAAAAAACGGCTCCAACAAGATTTCTAACTCTGCACGCAGAATATAAAATCTACTGTTTGGTTGTTTTGTATCGCTCTCCGGTGTGTTTGTGGGTTGTACTGCGTGGTTGTTGTGGAGCACGACGTCTGTATCTTTCACTCCAGGCCCTGGGAGGTTTCTTTTGTTGTTTGCGTGAAGAGGAATTTCCAGCAGTACGTGGATCTAAAGAAGCTCTCCCAGCGCAACTGGTGGGGCGAAACGTCGGACATCGATCCACGGAATGCACGGACCAAGCTGAAAATAAATCTCAGGAATGTTTATCCTGATACTTGCCTGAGGATTCATCCGAAGAATTGTTCTGACATTTTATTTTCAGTTCCAGTCAACGCGTAAATATTCAAAATAAACGCATTCATAACAATATGGACATTTTCTGCCGAGCGAAATTGAAAAATGTAATGTTTTGGACTTTTCCAAGTGTTGGAAAAAAAAGTATTTTTTAAACCATGTGTGTGTGTGTGTTTTCATCCTAAAATGTGTTATACCGTATGTGCCTTTGTTTACTCAGAAAAGGCTCAATGAGTATCAGAGCACATTTCCATGAGCACCGGCTAATTCCCAGTGCTCTGCTGTGCCCTGCACAGTAATGTATTCTATTGGCATCAATTTTAAAATTAGACTGCACCTGCAATAACTTTAAGAATTTAGTACCGCTGTGCTTGATAATACAATCTCCATTGTCTGTATTGAACATAAAAAATGCATGACATGCCCTAAACGCATCTGCTCTACTTGCAACATGATAATCGTTAACAATTAGTGTGCGATAATGTGTAACTAATTCATTCCTAGCTGTTTCCCAGTGTATTGAGATGTCAATACAGTAGTAGTATTATTGCAGTGCTGGGAAGGGTACTGCAGCTGGGAACCGGGTGGGATGTGGCCAATCGTATAAACCATCACGCGAACTCTGATCATGCCCACATAAATTACTTTTGGCGAGCCATCACGCGGCGCATTCAGATGCGCTTCCGCGGCCGTCTGGAACGCTCTTCCTTCCGATATTATGAAGCTGCTGGGAGCTATGATGCACTTTTAAATCATCATCATCATCATCATCTCGATTGCCAAACTAATTTCTTTAGAACTGATTTTAGTGTTTAGTTTGTTGTCCTTCCCCCGCACCTCCGATTAGCGCGGTTGGCTACGTACGGTGCAAAATAAATTCAACATGCAATCGTGAGGCGGCACTAGTGCATAAGTGAGTGTGAATGCATGCGGTGGTCAATAGATAAGTCACGTGAATATATTAACCCCGCTGCCTTACGATTGGCTAATCTGGGCTCTTCTGAAACGTTCCATATATTCAAACCTCCAGGCTTAAATACGTGGTAAGTTCCATGAGGGGATACATGAGGGCAGTGTTGTATAATGTAGAGTGCTGCCCTTGTAACGGTTTCCATTCACCGAAATCAAAGCGCATTGTCATCATAAGAAATATTTTGGTAATTTGAAGTCTAAAAAAAGGAGTGCCCAATTGATTACTAACCGCTGTCCGTTTACTTTAGAAGCAAGCT